GGGCTTATCTTTCAGCACTATTGGTTAGACAGTCTTCAACTATTTTTAACTAGTTAATTTTAATTTAACTTGTTAATTTTGTTTCTTTAAGAAGTGTGTGACTGGGTCTGTCTTAATCTAGAAGACCATCTTAAGTCTCCCCACTATGGGTAACTGTACTGGTGTTATTTGAACAGGGAGCGTCACACAGAAAGACCAAGTGAAAGTTGGCGATTTTGGCCACTAGATGGTGATATTGGCAAACCATTGACAAGTTGACTTTCTCTTTGTGGTTATTTTTTGTTACCTGCAGCCTTTACTAATATGCAAACAATTTAAAAATGAAAGAACATTTAAAAAAATTTAAAAACCTGAGTCTATTAAAGTAATGTAAAAATTAAGTGGTAGAAAATAACTTTAATTTGAGCATTATTGCTAACGTTGTTTGTTGTGTACCGTGAAGTCAGAACTGACCCATAGTTGACCCTCTGTCACGTTTTTAGAGAGTTATTGTCACTGGAAGAAACTGCCTATTCTTGTCACAAAACAGCTGGTGGCCTCAAACTGCGTACCTTCAGGATTGCAGCACAGCTTCTTGCCACTAGGCCCCCAGACCTCCCTTTATTGCTAATAAGCTAATTAAAAAGTTGAGACCTTTTACAAGAGCTGTAAGTATATTTTTTAGTTATAAAACTGAAAATAGCAATATATTATGTGAGCTGCTTGTTAGGGACCTCTGATGGCTTAGTAGTAAGGAGGTGCACTGAAAACCCAGAAGAGGTTCAAATGAACCAGCTACTTACTTCATGGGGAAAAGATGGGCAGTCCACTCCTTTGTGATTTCCTGCATCTGAAAACTTACTGCAGGGGTAGCTACTAGTTGGTTCCAACTCAGCGTTACATAGCAACAACAACAAATAAAGCCTCTTTTAGTGACACTCGGGATTAAAGAAGTTATTGATGGGCTGTACACTCAAACCAAATGCATTGCTTTCAAGTTGATTCTGACACAGAGCAATCGGATAGGGCAGAGTAGAACTGCCCTCCAGAAGCTGATTTGTCTCATCTTGCTGCTGCACAATGACAGGTGGATTCAAACTGATGACCTTTGGAATAGCAGCTGATAGATTCAGATAGTCCGCTGTTTGGTTAGCAGCTCAGTGCCTAATCCACCGCACCAGCAGGACTCCTCTGGAGTGTTATTCCCAAACCAAAACCAACCCCACTGCTGTTGAGTCAATTCTGACTCATGGAGACCCAACCCTCTTTCAAGTTTCTGAGGCTGTACATCTAAACAGGAGGAGAAAATGACATCCTATCTTGGTAAGGAGCCCTGGGGCCACTTTATTTAAGAACTGAAGGGCAGTTCATATTTACATTAACTCTACAGGCAAAAAGCCCCACTAATCTTCTTTAATAAGGAAAGAAAATCCTAGGGAGTGTTTCTGCTGTATTTTGTGAGGTTGCTGTGAGTCCAATATACTACAACAACAGAAGTATTTGGTACTCTTTTTCTTCTGATTTTTTCTTTCTGTTTCAAAAAAGATGTGGATATGTTAGAAATGAAATTTTTATCTATTTCAAATTCATCAGTAAAAACATGGGAATACAGAAAGGATATAGAAATTGTTGTTGTTGTTATGTGCCATCAAGTTATCTGTGACTCATGGCAACCTTCTGTACAGTAGCTCAGAATCCTACCTTATCCTAAGCCAGTCTCACTGTCTCCAACACACCTACCCCAATTACGCCTCCTACTGTGTCAGTCCATCTCACCCAGGGTCTTTCTCTCCTGTGCTCCTTCCAAGTGTGATGTCCTTCTCCAAGGACCGGTCCCTCCTGGCAACGTACTCATTGTGTATGTGTGACATGGCTAATTATTTGGTTTGAATATAAAAAAACATTTGTGTATATAACTTGGTTTACGAATGTAAGGGACCTGTTTGCTAATGATGAAATAAAACTTAGTTATGTAGATTTTAAAAGTTATGAACGTTGGGAGTCATTTTGAAGAGCAGTTTTTCTCAGACGACTATGGATTCCTTTGTTTAGGCATGAATTTTTTTTTTTTTTTTTTTTCATTTTAGTTGAAGTGTCCCTAGAATGTGCTGTAGACTTCCTTGTCTTCCTAAATTGAGTCAGGCAACTTGAAGTTCTCATTGTGTCAGGCAAGGTCCTCTTCACAGCAGTTCCCTCAGAGCCTGAAGAAGACATGGTGTCTTCTTTGCCCCTGTGTTGACTGACTCGTACTGCTGTACCTTTGAGTTCTTGTAACTGTGCAGTTTACTAATCAGAATTTACTAAGGGTTTGTTCTGACTCCATGGTAAACAACAACAACAACAACAACAACAAAAAACAACTTTTTGGTGGTTTGGTTTTGTTTCCTTTTGGTGTCATTACTTGTTGTCAGTGGCATGCCTGTGGCTAGCAGTTCTTCTGAAGCTTCTTACCAACTGCTTCAGGTCAAATGATAATACTTGTCTGGGCTGTTATGTGAAAGAAAAATAGTCTTCATTTCCTCTGGGGGACATGTCTGTCTTAGTACGTCAATTTTGTAAATTTCAAATATTCAGAAGCTTTCTAAAATATCTAGTACTGGTAGAATTTTGAAACTCCATCTCATTTTGGGCATGTGGCCAGGAGGGACTGGTCATCATGCTTGGAAGGGCGGAGGGAGAGAGGAAGATTCTGGATGAGATGGATTGATAAAGTAACTAGGGGCCATGGGGGTAGGTGTGTCAGAGTCAGTGAGTCTGGCTCAGGACAGGGCAGGTTTTAGAGCTGTTGTTCATGGGGTTGCTTTGAGTCACAGGCAGCTTGATAGCACATAACAACAACAGTATGAAATACCTGATTCTAGTATAGCTCTGGTGGCCTAATGTCAAGAAGCTGCACTGCAATTCCAAAGGCATGTGATTCGAGGCCACCAGCTGCTTCACAGGAGAAGGATGGACAGTCTCCTCCCATGCAATTACTGCCTCTGAAAACACCCTGGAGGTTTAGCTATGTGTTATTTCCAACTTGTCAACACAGGTATATATATATCAAAATCTTTACCTAGTTAGAGGTAATATGTGGAGTCTGATAATTTGGATCAAAGTGTTTATTTTCTCTTTGTTTGGGTTTTTTTAGCCCTTCTCTGGCTTTCATAGCTCTAAGTGGGAAGCCTTGGATGGTGCAACTCCCTGACTCTGGTAACCTGTTTTCAGGCAGCTGCTGAGAGGGCTCCCACCACTCCCCGCTGTTTATTTTCCTTTTTATCTCTGGAGCTTGATACTTACTTTCCCTTTTTGAACTTTGTTCTCACTGCATTACTACTCTTCCTTTGTATTCTTTCTTTTGTACCTTTTGGTAATGTTACGGACTTTGATAAATCCTGCTAACAGAATTAAAGCTTAATAAAAGATTTGTGGCTTCTTTTAAAAGGTTTAGCATTAGTTGAATGTTGAAAATGATTCCCACTGCTGGTGTAATTGTCTTTTTTTTTTTTATTCTACACAGTTCTTTTCTGAGGCTTGTAGTACTGTTTCTTGTGGCATTTGACCAGTTTTAACTTTGGCACTTATTATTTAGCCGTTAAGTTTTCTCCTCCCTCTCCCCCGCCCCTTCCCCACCCTCATTTCCTTTGGATTTCTCACTTCCTTTCTTTGTTTACTGCAACTCATGCTCACAGTTGCCTGCATTTTATGTGGAATAAATGATTCATGTCCATAATTCTTGGCTCCTAGGAGATAAAAATTTTATGCAGTAATGTTATTGATTATATCTCATTGGTTCTCTGTAATGTGCTCTGTGAAGCACCTCTCAGAATGGTGGTTCTCAGGGTTAAGTACATACTTCGATACTTTGAAAGATTCTTAATTTATATTTTGTATCTTTAATCCTTCTATGTTGTGTGGCCTATTGTTGACTGAATGTTTTTGTATTCAGAAGCCAGAATTGAAGTAGCCAGAATAATTTAAAAATTTTTAGAAAGGACCAGGCAAATTCATGAGGCCCCCCCTCCAATAACATGCAAGAACATTTTACATTCCACCACTGGTGGGCAGAATTTAGCAGAGATTAGATGTGTCTGTGTAAATTTATTGTATTGATTTCAAAGTCAAAGTTTTAGATTATACTCTGCATTGACCCTTCAGCACCTGCTGTTCTGCCTTTATAAATTCATTTTTATCTACCTCCACTTCCACCCAGCAACATTGCACTCCATGTAACCTTTTGCCTGCATCCATGGTCACAGTGAAAGGCGCATAACCTTGAAGTTATCTCAGTCCTCCTAGCAGCGGTCTTTTGTGGTTCACTAATGGAAATAGTCTCCAGCTTTTGAACGGAAGGACTGGTATTTGGGCACCTCAGTAATGGATGGATTTGCTGCTCATAATTTTTCAAGTGAAGTCCATGTACAGTGCACTGTGCCATCAATTTAAGGACAGAGACTTCCCACAAATTATTTCTGCCTTTTTCACATTCTGATAATTTCTTTAGCCTCTTGTTTGTCAGCTTTAAATTTTATTCTTTTTTGACAGTCAAAGGTCTCATTCCAAAATCAAGGTAATGGAGATTTGTTTTGATTCTTTTATATTATCTTTGTAATGTGGGCAACATCATTATGCATTAGGCCCTTATACCTTAAAAGTGTGAGAGTGTGTGTTTAAACCACTGTCAGTACAGTATCACTGAAGAGCAAGCCTGAAGACCAACGTTCCAGTCCTGGCTCTGCCCCTGAACAACTGTGTCACTTTTGATAAGTCACTAATCTGTCTGCATCGGAGTTTCCCTACTTTTAAAATGAAGAAGTTGGAGTAGTTAATATCTAAATCTCTTCCTCATTTGAAATTCCGTGTTCTGGTGTGCATAGTAAACACTCAACCAACCTTAAATGATCTTATATTTGAAGAGTTAGTGAGGGATTTGAGACAACATTCTCTCAGTGTCACTTTATAGGTAAAATAAGGTAATGCTTATGTTCTTGGAATTGTTTCTTCTGCAGATATACGGTAAAATGTATTTTTCTTTCTAGGACAATGGCTTTGTGCATATTCATACCCCAATAATAACGTCCAATGACTGTGAGGGAGCTGGAGAACTTTTTCAAGTTCAAGTAAGTTGTGGTTCCCATGTTGAAAGACATGTTTCTATTTGATGTTTTTTTTTTTTTAATATGAAGATTTGCTCTAAGTTTAAGAAATGTATGCACAGAAGACTATAATCAGTCTCTGAAATTTTGTCATTCATTGTTGTTATGCACCTTCAAGTCGGGACTGACTCATAACTGACCATTTGGTGGCTTTTTCAGAAACTGTAAATCACATAAGAGGAGATTATTCATCTTTCTCTTGTGGAGCAGCTGGTAGATTCGAACAGTCTGCCATTGAGTTGACAGTGCAACTCTTTACCCATTAGGCTACCAGAGCTCCTTTTATTTTTAATAATGCTTAAAAAAACCCCACATATAGAAAATTAAAATTGTTCTGGTTCTCTGTTCTTTCTGCTGTATCACTTAAATTATGAACAAAAAGAGAATTAATTCCCCATTTGCTTTTCTTATCATATTTTGTCAATATTAACTGGTGAAATAGGGAAAATTGAGAAGTTTAATGAAGATCCCAAGGTGTCTTCTGTGCATATTTAACTGCTAGTTAGTATTTTTAGATGTTTTAAAAGATAAATAAAAGTTGGTATTTTTAAGATGTCAGTACCACCCAAAGCAATCTATAGATTCAATGCAGTTCCAATCAAAATTCTAACAGCCTTCTTTGCAGAAATGGAAAAGCCTGTTCTAAACTTTGTTTGGGAAGATAGGAGACCTGAATAGCTAAAAAAAAATGTTGAAAGAGGTGAAAGTAAGAGAGATCATGCATCCTTATTTTAAAACGTACTTGGGGGGGGGGATAGGGGAGGGGGGTGTGCGGGGAGAAGGGTGCAACAATGAATGAATGGAATTCCAAAATCTCTGTTCATTGAAATGAAAAATAAACAAACTAAATTAAATTTTTTAAAAAGACATTAAAAAAAAAAGCCCGTACTTGATAACTACAATAGTCAAAATAGCCTGTCACTGGTCTTTAGACACATAAATCAATTTAATAGAGTTGAGAGTCCAGGGAAAAGCTATATATATTCAGTTGATTTTGTCCATTTGCTAAGGGAAGAAAATTTTCTTAATAATGGAAAGGGTTGAACCGGGTGGCTCCTTGGAGGCAAGGATTCTGAGGCTCCGTCTAACATACTTTGGACATGTTGTGAGGAGAGACCGGTCCTTAGAGAGGGACATCGT